GCGGGGGGGGGAAAGGAGATGGGATCCCGAAGGGTTGGAATCGTAGTCGGGGGGGGGATCGCGATAGCGGCAGAGGAGAAGAAGAAGAAGAAGAAGAAGAAGAAGAAGAAGAAGAAGAAGAAGAAGAAGAAGAAGAAAGAAAGAAAGAATAGGAAGAATAAATAAATAAATAAAATTTGTCGCTTACCTGGCGAGGGCGGCAATCAAGGATCAAGGCGGCAACGAGAAGCACGGCGCTGATGACGTGGCACGGCGGCGACGGTCTCGACGACGACGATGTCGTGGCACAGCGGCGACGGAGGTCTTGATGACGGCGGTGATGACGTCGCACGGCACTGAAGGTCACGACGACGAAGGGGGAGCGAATCGCTCCGATACCAGTGTAACGAGCGTGAGGCTGAGGGTGAGCCGAGGGAGAGGAGAGAGAGGGAGAGAGTGAGAGCACACACACAAACACTCACTCACTTGACACGACGGACTCGGACTGAGGATCGGACGCAGACACAGTGGCAAGTCACAAAGTCGAAGTCTTGGATTCCGAATGCCGAAACAGCAAGTCACACTGAGTACGAGTACAGCAGCAGAGAACTGGTATGAGACTGGTCCCCGTACCGTACGGGGAGCCGGTATAAGTACCGGTGACACGTACGGTACTAGGGGCATTTATGCAAAGGCCCCGTGGGCAGAACTGAAAAATGCAGTATTTGAAAGTGGCGCCCGAATTGTAGCATGGCGCCAGTTGTCCAAAATCCTACGGTACCAAAGGAGGGGTTTGGAAAAAGGGTGCCAGGCCGAAAACGGGATGCAGTTGAAACAACAAAAGATAGACCAGGGATCGAGCCCTAGCGGAGTCCGTAACAGTTGAAGTTTAGCAGAGATTCAGACCCAAGTCAAGAGAAGGTCGAGTGTCTCCTAAGGTCACTGAATACTTTGAGTAAGAGAGAGGTGTTTCCACATGAGGCTGTCAGATATGAGATGATTGAGAGTGGGTGAGAGCAGGAACGATTATATGTACTGACGTTTTATTTCACAGACCTAGATGTGTATGATGTAAGAATCTATGTCCCAAAAAAAAGAAGTACTGAAGCAGTGTATGAGAGATGCTGGGGATTTGCTGAAGAGGTTGTACTGAAAGAGAAAGAGAGACTTGAGAAGGAAAACGAAAGTTTCACTTGATCTACTCGATTTACCGTTTTTTAGGGATTTTCAGCTCCTCTCTTGCCCGATATTAATATGACAAGAGAAAATTGGTCTGTGATAGTTGGGTTTGCTCTAAAAGTGAAACGAGACCAAAGAGTCAAATGAGTCGACGCTATGTACCTTCAAGAGAGAAACCCAGGTTTAGACTGATGAGAGGCCATGGAGGGTTGAGCAAGGTTGAATCAGATAAACTTCTAAACTCCCTCAATTCTATAACGAGTAGAGTCGTAATCCCCTATGAGATCGTGAGGTATGAGGCCACAAAGAAACCAGAGTGAGAACAAGACAGTCTGTATGTGCTTACCTGCTATTTTATTGATTTTGATGAGTATGATATTGAAATTTATGTACCGAAACAAAGATTTGAAGAGTGCAGAAAAGGTACGTGTTGGCAACGAGTATCGAACATTGTACATGATGAGAAGGGAAGGCTAGAGAGAGAGGGAGAGCGTTTCTCCTTTAGTACCTATGTCAGACCTTTTGTTGGGATTCCATCACCACCTGTTGAGGGACTTACATTCTCAAGATACAATTCGTCAACCATGATAGATATTGTATGGAAAGTGAAAAGAGCCCAAAAAGAATACTCTTAGTGGCTAGGATAACTACTATGAGGGGCAAACTTTATGAGGTGACAGGCATGATAATCCCTTTGTAATCTTGAGGCATGAGATTTGTGGGAAAGGACATATAATATTTCATATTCCTGTAGTTAAATTCCTGAACTCTTACGG